AGTCTAAAAACAACACTTTTCTATATTCCCATACAAAAGATTCGTAATAATACTTAAAAGTCAATTTGAACTTTAATACCATACTATAAAGTTTAAGTGTTAGTGGAGGGGTTCCGGGAAGGCAAAACAATTGAGTGACGTTAGTATCGTATAAATATTAATGTCAATATTTGTCAGTATTTATAAGATGGTAACATTACTAAAAAACAAAATTAGGGTTCCGCGCAAAAAATTGATATCCAACAAATCGTAGTAAATTTCACGCGGGCGAAGTCGCGGGGCACGGCTAGTACAGTAATATAAACTAAGTGCACATTCAATAATAGGTAAACACCGCATGCTTAGTGTTCACAGCATTTACCTACAAGCCGTTACCAAATAGCTAAAAATATACGGTACAAACTTAAAATAAAACAAAATTATTAAATTAATACGAAAAAAATACTACAAATAAACATTAATCTATACAAATAAATAAAATTGAAATGTCTGTTTTAATGTCAAAATTACAGCTTTTTACTAAATGCATATGAAAGTATATAAGGTACTAATAACAAAAATACAAATTTTAAAGTTTTTGTCTATCTGCCTGTCTGTCTGTCCGTCTGTCTGTCTGTCTATTTGTTCCGACTAATCTCCGAAACGGCTGAACCGATTTTTACGGGATTTCCACTGGCAGATAGCTGCTGTCACAAGGAGTAACTTAGGCTACTTTTATTTTAGAAAAAGAATTGGAGTTCGCGCAAAAAAAAAATTAAAACCCAATAAAACATGCGGGCGAAGTCGCGGGGAAAAGCTAGTATTTTGATAAATTTTGTGCCAAAAAATGTTAAAAGAGTCTTGGTGGCCTACCACATTAGGGTAGACCACCCAATTGTTGGCACTTTACGAGTGAGCTTCGTATCAGTCGGAAATTAAATTACCACAAAATCTCATTTACAAGAGCTAGTAGACAAAACATGTGACAGAATCAAAGACAATACTTTACTCCTTGTTTTTATAATCATTTTTATGTGATTGAATAGTATTAAATTAACATTTTACACTAAAATCCTAAAGACTACAGAAAATCCTATTATTGGCATAGAAATTCTCAATATTGGTATCTACCGTCTAATTATTGGCATGTAGTTAAAGTAGGAGATGGTGTCTACCTATCAATAAAATCAAATAAATACCTACCTATACCTAGGGTATAATTAAAACACTATTTTACTAGGTAAATATCTGCTTTTATTTAGGTATGTTTTCTACCGTAAAGTATTAAAAGTTTTTATAAAAATACCTAAACTCAAGTCTTATAACATAAACACTTTCTCTTATTCTAAGTACTCGTTTTGACAGTCTCACTTTATCAGTACTTAAATGGAGCTTATCCTTGAGACCTTTTAATACCTATAAAATATTCATCAGTCTGATTAAGAACTTACTCAACTTAATACTCTCCCTTTTTTTAAGTATTTTAGTATTTTATGTAAGTAGATCGCAGTCTTACTGGAACCGATTAAAAAGTAACATTTTAATCTTAATAATTGGTCAACAGCTTCTCAATTTCAGTTATGCTTAAGTTTTTGTTAGCTCTGATATGACTATCATCATCAGATTTCTCGTCTTCATCCGTATTGCACAACGCTCCCTCAGAATATAAAATATTCTTCAAAATACTTTTGGTATCTTCTTTCTTTGGTGTATTTAGCACTTGCTTAATTATTTTATTGTTAATATCATATTTTTCTTTTTCTTTTTTAATACTGTTAAAATTTAGTTTTTGTTTCAGATTACTTTCTGTGTAATTTTATTTATTAGTTTCCCTTTTCTCTGTATAAATTTGATCTTACTTCTCTTCTCTACTACTTTATTTTTATCTTCTTCATGTATTGATTCTATTTTATTTTTATCTTTTTGTTGTATCAATTCTACTTCATTTTGATATTTTTTTTCGTGTTTATTCTTTAGCGCAATGTTTAAATTGTAAAAATATTTCGAAACTAATATTCTTCTTGCAGATTTCGTAGTTTCATGTTTTTGACAACTAGTTTTTTGACACATTTTTCTTTTTTTAGCATTTATTCAGTTTTGTCTAATTTTTTTGCTGTCGTAGTTCCTCGGCAAGCGTTTGTACAGGAATATCACCATTGGTGGGGTGATTTCTCCATTGGCAGCAAAATTAAACATCTCTGTTAGTGAACTTTTATCTGGGGCGTGGTTGATTTCATTATCATTCTTTACACCCTTTGGTGCCAAGACCACACCTGTTTTTGATCAAAGAATAAAATTGGTTTTGTCACCATTCAAGATTTTCGGGTCTGATAGAATTTCAAACAAACCGTGATCTTTTAGATATATTTCAATTGCTTGAAACCATTCTTTTATATCATTTTCTGATACGGCAGCACTTGTCGCTGTTATAGCTTCAGGAGTTCTTACAAAAATTTCCGGGTGTCGCTGTAAGAAGAGATTAAACCATTTATCTCCGGGAATGTTGTCCCTGAACGGGTTAGATCGACCGCTTTTTTTTACATAAATTCTGATACGCTATTCAAAAGATCTTCTTTCCGTTTAGAAAAACCATTTGCATGGCTAACATTTAACCAATTCTTTAATTTATTCTCTTCTTCTGAGTTAAGTAATGGCCTCGGACCAGGCTGAGGATTATGATCGGGTTTCTTAATGCGAAATTGTAACGTAGCTCAAGGGACCTGATATTGTTTTGCTGCTTGATTTTAGCCATGTCATTTTTAATCGCATCTAAAAGCTTTTTTATATTTTCCTCACAATAATGTTTTCGTTTATTTTTTTTTTCTATTTTTCCTCTTCACTTCTTTTTATTGGTGTCCTTTTTATTTCGTTCCTTCATTGTTTACAACGTACTCTAAATGAATAAAAAACCTATTATTAGCAGTCAATATTCTATTATGGGCACTACTGCCAATAATTAGAGTTTGCTATTGACACTGTGGGCCAACATTTGGAAATTGCTATTAAGGAGAAAATATACGATGGGCAAACTATATTTTAACTTAAAACCTTTACAAATATATCATAAACTCTCTTGTTGATAACATTTGAAAAATTCCTATTATTGGCATTAGTGCCAATAAAGGGATTTTGATGAAATTATTGTTCCATATGTTGGCACAGGTAATAAGTGAAATGTGATAAAATATTTAAGAAATAATCTTTAAATCTAATGCCTAAAGGTGTAATTAAGTATATCAAATTAATTTTGAAAGCAACAATTAGCCGAATAGCTGCGATATAGGTACTATGATTAATAAAGCTCTCACCTTAAGAAAAAATCAAAATAACTACACAAGTCACTAGCACAAAATGTCAGCTGTAGTTTCTAAATTGCCATATTGGTTATTGCAACAGTGTTGCCAATTTTTAACAGAAAAACAATACTATTTTACTTTTTAATGCATACCTAACTTGAATAATCTATGGTTTCCTTGTCTTTTCGAACTAAACACTTAAGTGCCAATAATTGGAGGAGTGCCAACGATTAGGTAGTTTACCCTATTATAGGTATTTAAAAGTGGGCAAAGTCTGTGTATTGGGGAATTAAATCCTAGTACAGTTCTACGAATAGGCGGCGAAAGAGGAGTAATGAATTTACGAGGATATCTACTTGGGACACGAAAGTTAAATTTACGTAGTAATAAAGGGCAATCTAAGTTATTTCTGAATATTTTATATAAAATTTGTTGTTACTATCTGATGGACTGTAATTTCATTTGTCATTTAATTTAAAAAAGGCCGGCCAAGTGCGAGTCGGACTCGCGCATGAAGGTTTCCATACCATCGTAAAACACGTTTCTAGTAGGGGAGCGCCCTTTTATTTTTAATTTATTTTAACTTTTATTATTTGTTGTTATAGCGGCAACAGAAATACACATTCTGTGAAAATTTCAACGGTTTACCTATTACGGATCATCAGATACAGCCCGCTGATGGACAGAGGGACGGACGGATGGACAGCGGGGGCTTAGTAATAGGGTGCCGTTGGTTACCCTTTGGGTACGGAACCTTAAAAAAACTAAACAGATGGACTCTTAGCGATTCCTACTACCTATTATGATTGGACACCTAGTAGAATTATTTTTTACATTGTATACTTTAACATTACATTATTTTCTCTACCTCTCCAATATACAAGTAAATGCATGCTATGCTTCCCAACTGTTACTAAACAAAAGAGTACATAACATACATCCATCATTATATCAGGCTTTTAAAGACCACAAATAGATAGATCTTTCTGAGGATGCATGGATGGAAATATTTAAGAAATTGCTACATTAATTACCAAAATATTTTAGTTACAATCAGGTCATATTCGTTAAACTTAACTCATTACGTCATTTAAACCTTTACTCATAGTCAACAGATAATAGTTCTCTTATCAAACATTCCAAGTTACTTGAGTAATTTATTATCTATCGTTTGGAATATATTTAAAAACTACATTCCAGTCACAAAGATTTTAAAAAAATGTCACCAATCCGCTTGAGTAAATAATTATTCTTTAATCTGAGGCTTCGCGGAACAAGATCTGAGTAAATAATTCCACAGTTAGTGTATATTAAACTGTTAGAAATTGCGTTTGAAATAGTAACGTAATGCGCATGCGCGGTTAAATACGCCATGAATAACATTATTTTAGTGGAGCTCAATAAACCTGACATAGATGTGAAATTATTCTGAAACGATTTTCCGTATATTTCGTGTATAAAATAAATGATAAGCGCTATTTTTTAATGTTACAGTACAGAAATATCGTCGTATAAAAACGAGTTATCCACAATAACATCGAATAAAAACACTTTGAAGTTAGTCATAAACTAGTCGCACGACATCGGCAACGTTCACGCAGGACGTCTAACGGTAATTGAGAATACAATCAACGAAGCAAGAGAAAGCGTATAGGATCGGGGGAATGAAAGCGACCAGCCAGTACAGGCGCCGCGTCGCGCCGAACGGACGACATAACCTCAAACATGTTCGCGATAGCAACTTTAACAATAGCTTCGGCCGCCGCCGCAGTTTATTGGTTCATGAACCGGCACAAACCCATTAAGCACCTGCTGAGCGATTTTCGATATATGTTGGACATGCAGGGAGCCGGCGCTGGAGGCCTCATCGACGACTGGGTGAATATCAGAAGAAACAAAATTGTGTTACCAGACGCAAGCGGAAAAGTTGCCGTTATAACGGGCGGGGCTCGCGGAATAGGCTTGGAAGTTGTCAAAGGGTTGCTCAAAGCGAATGTCACCGTTATTATGGGCATTCGAAGACCAGAGGCTGCCAAGAGTATGATTGAAAGCATGGAGAATGGAAGAAACTTGCGCGCGTTCCCACTTGATTTGCAGTCACTGAAGTCGGTTAAAGAGTTTGCGAAATGTGTCTTAAAGGAATTTCCCGAGATCAATATCTTGATAAACAATGCTGGTATAATGTATGTAGATTACAAGTTGACTGAAGATGGAATTGAATCACAATTTGCTGTTAATTATTTAAGTCATTTCTATTTGACACATTTATTGTTGCCAGCTTTGAAAAAAACAGGCAAATTAGAAGAGCCTTCAAGGGTAGTGAATGTTACATCTTGTGGTCATTTCCCTGGAAAGATTTTCTTCGATGACATTAATATGAAAGAACATTATGACACAATAGCTGCCTACGCCCAATCGAAACTAGCACAGGTAAAAAATGCTAGGATAATTACAGCAAAGCAATATTTCATTTAACTTCATATTTTTTTTAACTTTATATTTTTTATAACTTTTAAAACTTAATGCAATAAATTTTATTTGTTACAGATCATGATAGCAAGGTACCTTAACAAATTGTTGGAAAGTGAAGATGTAAATGTGAAATTCTATTCGGCTCATCCGGGAATCGTTGACACAGATTTATTTGAGCACACAACCTTCCACCACCTCCCCTGGTTGAAGAAAATTTTCTTTAAAACTCCTGAGAAAGGAGCCACGCCCATACTATATGCTTGTTTCAACAAAGAAATTGAAGAAAAAGGTGGTCTTTACATCAGCAATTGTAGAGAAGGTATCAGTAATAGTTTTTCTAAAAATGTTAACAATCAGAAAAAACTGTTCGATATTTCCTGTGAGCTAACTGGTATTGAAACCGAAAAGTTTGGTAAACCTGATATGTAATATTTATTGTTTTACACTAAGTTTATAATAACAATGTCTATTCCACAAACTTATAGTACTTATTTATTATTTTAAATGATTATTTTAATACTGTTGTATACGTATTTAATAAAATATATACCTATTAAAAACAAAATGGTTTGATTTTCCTTCAGAATCATTCTATTTATCCTTATTTGAGATGTTTGTTACTGAAATTCACTTAAAAATTACATACATACATATAATCACGCCTCTTTCCCGTAGGGGTAGGCTTGTTTCGCTTCGTCCACTTTCATTATTCCCTTCATACATGCTCTTCGGTTTAGGGTACTCTTGACCTGGCCTTTTTTTCAAGACTTCCCGGATTTGATCTAGAAACGCCCGCCTAGGTCTACCCCTTCCAACACTTTCATTCACACTCGCCTTATACACCTTTTTCGTCAATTGTTCTTCATTCAAAATTATATTAAAATATTAAAGCATTGACAGGAAAATACAACTTAGCTAAAATTCAAAACCCAAATTTCAATGGCTGGTGACGGGGGCTTTACTTGTGCAAGGATATTGTCCTACTAATCCACCAGCTAATAGTGAGTATAGCAAATAATCCATTAGCAGTGTTATTGTCTATTGTTAACTAGTAGTCTATCCTTATGTAGCTTTGAACTGCATCACCATCAACCTACAGAGTAAAGATAACATAAGAAATATATGAAAGCTGGTGGATTCTTTAGAAAAGAGTTCTGTAGAGTTCTGTCGGTATTATGTATCCAACAAATTTTTTCTGCCAACTTCCAAAAAGGAGACGGTATTCAATTTGACTGTATGTTTTTTTTTATTTATGCTACCTCATAACTTTTTACTGGGTGAACTGATTTAGATGATTCTTTTTTTACATGAAAGCTGATACTTCTCGTGTGGTTCCATGTGAATTTAATCAAGGTCAGACCAATAGTTTTTGAGTTATTCTTAATAACTTATATTGAAGTCAGCTGTACAACATTTTTAATTTTAAATTATTAAAACACTTTTTAAAACACCTGCAGCTAAGTGGCAACGTTAGTCCATGACTACCTGCAGTTAACTTCAAGCAAACGAGGCTAAAATGCGTTGCTATACCTGAGGATTAAATAACTTATTTAAAAAAGATATCAAGTTAATCTTCAGTGTGTGTGGGAATGTGTGAAAGAGTTTCTTGAAAATCAAATTCCATGTCGGATCACTGATTTTTACCTAACTGAATATTCAAACCCAAGACCGTATGATCAGTGGGCCTTACAACCACTATACCAAGAAAGCAGACAAATTCCATTGTAAATAAAAATAAGGAAGTATGCACACCTTATTGTATAAACACAAACAGTATTACAATATTATATATTATGCACAACTTTACCATTGAGATGTAACAGTTACTCTACATATACTTTGTCCAAGTTGGTAAGACAGCACAATAATATATCAAGCCTAATAAGTGACACTGTAATTAATATAATCAGGCATTACTTTGCGGAAATCCATTATATAAAAGCTTTTAAAAAATTTACTTCGCAAACATTTGCACTATAAAATAAAATGATTTGTCTTACCTAGTATGAAGAGTACCTCCCGCCCTCCCTCAATTGCGTGCACTATCCCCGTCAACATTTGACGGGGGTAGTAGGTAAGACACATCATTTTATTTTATAGTGCGGATGTTTGCGAAGTAAATTTTTTAAAAGATTTTATAAGTAACACTGTATCAACTTAAAATGTTGTATATTTTAGTTAAATAACAGATTCCGCAATTTTTAACTTTACTTTGAACATTAGTGACATAGGGATTTGATTAACTCTTATACAAAAGACAAATACTTCTTGTATGATATGCTGGTATGAAATGATATGAAAGGTAAGCACACTAATCCAGTAGAATTGGATGGAGTATGTTATGTGAGCAACTTCATTGATGCGATACCAAGAGTAAAAATTTCAGCAGAGCAGAGACAAAAAGGCTGACAAGAAGAAAGTTGGTTCTCGTTATATTGTGACACGTTATGAGTTTTTTCTTTTGGTTGCTGATTTGACCACTTCTTTGTTAGACCAAAGACAGAAGTTACAGGATCGTGAGTTTTAGAAGTCATAGAAAACAGTGACTTCTGACTATTTGTACATAATGGTTTATCCAGATAACTATCGTTGACAACAAAAAATTATGTAACTGAAAAAAAAATATCCATTTAAGTGTCAGTGTCTTTTACCTAATAAGTTAAGTACATTTCTGAGTTTAAAAAAATACATAATTTAATTGTTTGATATAGTTTAATTTTCTTTTACTACTTACTAACATTCAGTTACTGTTAAATAAAAAATAAATTTTATTAAATGTTGTGTAGGCATTATATTTGTGACTATAATTAGAATGAAAATATTGAGCATTATTAACACAAAATTGTCAAAACTTAAAGACAATTAATGTAGTTTTATATTGCTAAATTTCTTTGTTTATAAAAATGTATGATTTAAATAATATACATTTTCAAAACTTAGGAATGCTGTATCTCAAAATAATGTTTTATGAGTTAATATGTACAGTGTTAAATATCTGGTGTGATATATGTATATTTAGTATAGTAAAAAAAAGGTCTGTTAAGCTGGAATGGTCATTTGGGCAAAATCACTTAAATTTTTGCTAAATATTTAGTGCTCATTTAGTGCTAATTTAGTGCTACAAATTTAAATTTCACGCCAAAATAGCTTGATCAAAAATGAGAAAACTGCTAGCTTTTAATTAAGCTAGCAGTGTTCTACCTATTAAAACGATAACAGCTTAATACAGCACCAAATAGAAGCATCAATAATTTAGTGCTCATTTAGTGCTGCCGATGTACGCAAAAACAAATATTGGGAAAATATATATTTTTTTAATATCATAAATTCTGCTACTTTGACATCTTTAGCAGAGTATGTAATGAACAAATTGACATCCAAGTGGATTATCACCTAATGATATGAGATAATAATTTAGTGCTCATTTAGTGCTCCCGATATACGCAAAAACAAAACTTGGGAAAATATTTTTTTAATATCATAAATTCTGCTTCTTTGACATCTTTAGCAGAGTATGTAATGAACAAATTGACATCCAAGTGGATTATCACCTAATGATATGAGATAATAATTTAGTGCTCATTTAGTGCTGCCGATATACGCAAAAACAAAACTTGGGAAAATATTTTCTTTAATATCATAAATTCTGCTACTTTGACATCTTTAGCAGAGTATGTAATGAACAAATTGACATCCAAGTGGATTATCACCTAATGATATGAGATAATAATTTAGTGCTCATTTAGTGCTGCCGATATACGCAAAAACAAAACTTGGGAAAATGTTTTTTTAATATCATAAACTCTGCTACTTTGACATCTTTAGTAGAGTATAATGAAAAAAAAATACATCAGAGTGGGCTATCACATAATGATATAAGATAATAAATTAGTGCTCATTTAGTGCTGTCGATATTACGGAAAAGAATTTGGGAAATTATTATTTTTATATACCGTTAACTGCTACTTTGACATCTTTAACAGAGTATGTGATGATACATTGACATCCAAGTGAGTTATCATCTAATGATGTACGATAATAATTTAGTGCTCATTGAGTGCTGCCGATATACGCAAAAACAAAACTTGGGAAAATATTTTTTTTTATTTCTATAAACTCTGCTACTTTGACATCTTTAGCAGAGTATGTAATGAAAAAATTGGCATCAGAGTGGGCTATCACATAATGATATAAGATAATAAATTAGTGCTCATTTAGTGCTGTCGATATACGAAAATCGATTTGGGAAATTATTATTTTTAAATACCGTAAACTGCTACTTTGACATCTTTAGCATAGTATGTAATGAACAAATTGACATCCAAGTGGATTATCACCTAATGATATGAGATAATAATTTAGTGCTCATTTAGTGCTGCCGATATACGCAATAACAAAACTTGGGATAATATTTTTTTTAATATCATAAACTCTGCTACTTTGACATCTTTAGCAGAGTATAATGAAAAAAAATTACATCAGAGTGGGCTATCACATAATGATATAAGATAATAAATTAGTGCTCATTTAGTGCTGTCGATATACGAAAAAGAATTTGGGAAATTTAGATGTCAATGTTTTCAGTACATACGCTGCTAAATATGCCAAGGTAGCAGTTTACGGTATTTAAAAAAAATTATATCTCAAATCCTTTTTCATATATCGACAGCACTAAACGAGCACTAATTTATTATCTTATATCATTAGGTGATAATTCACGTCGATGTCATTTTTTTCAGTACACACTCTGCTAAATATGCCAAAGTAGCAGTTTACGGTATTTAAAAATAATAATTTCTCAAATCCTTTTTCATATATCGACGGCATTAAACGAGCACTAATTTATTATCTTATATCATTAAGTGATAATTCACTTGGATGTCATTGTTTTATCACATACTCTGCTAAAGATGTCAAAGTAGCAGTTTATGGTATTTAAAAATAATAATTTCTCAAATCCTTTTTCGTAATTCGGCAGCACTAAATGAGCACTAATTTATTATCTTATATAATTAGGTGATAGCCCACTCTGATGTCAATTTTTTCATTACATACTGTGCTAAATACGTCAAAGTAGCAGAATTTATGATATTAAAAAAAAATACATATTTTCCCAATATTTGTTTTTGCGTATATCGGCAGCACTAAATGAGCACTAAATTATTATCTCATATCATTAGGTGATAATCCACTTGGATGTCAATTTTTTCTTTACATACTCTGCTAAAGATGTCAAAGTAGCAGAATTTATGATATTAAAAAAATATATATATTTTCCCAATATTTATTTTTGCGTATATCGGCAGCACTAAATAAGCACTAAATTATTGATGCTTCTATTTGGTGCTGTATTAAGCGGTTATCGTTTTAATAGGTAGAACACTGCTAGCTTAATTAAAAGCTAGCAGTTTTCTAATTTTTGATCAAGC